TATATATATATATATATATATATACTGTATATATACACACACATACATATATATATACATACACACACACACACAAAAGTATGTTAAAAGACAGATATTTCTGAGAGAAACTATTTCTGTCTTAAGGAGAATGAGGACCTTAGGAAAAAAGTGTGCTGTCAAAAGTGATTCAATAAATATCAATAAAGGTTTAAGAAACACTGCTCTGTATAATACTGACATTGAATAATTTAAAAGTGAAAAGCTAATATTCAAGCAGTATTCACGAATGCCAAGTAAATACCAACTATTGTCACAAGGATACTAGTGGGATAGTGTTTATGATATCCCCCAGAGTAATTGAACAGCATGCTTTTGGTCCTCATGTCTGGAGTAGTTTCAAACCTTTATTGTCCTATAAGTAGTGTAAATAAATGAACTGTCATTAGGTAGTATATTACAAAGGGGGGGAAAAGCTACAAAGCGCACAACTCTTCATCCCAACCCACAGTTTTAGATTCCCTCTCAAACTTTCGGGTATTCTGAAATAAGTAGAACCAATTTACAGGAGACTGTAATAAGATCTGTAAACCACATGCAATAAAGACTATGGAGATTCTCAATCATCCAGGTCATGGTTGTCCCAAAGGTGCTTTTCAAAAGGCAACTGGACTTTCTTGATTTTTTCTTTGAAAGTGTTTTGCTTCTCATCCAAGAGGTTTCTTCAGTTCTGAATTAAAGAAGCTTCTTGGATGAGAAGCAAAATATTTTCAAAGAAAAAAACCAAGAAAGTCCAGTTGCCTTTTGGAAAAAAGCACCTTTGGGACACATGCAATAAAAGACCGATGAAGATCATCTCCCAGTTACTGAAAAATTCTCAACACACAGCTTTACATCAGAAACCTCTATTTTTCTAATTTGCATAATCTTAGCAACACCTGCAGATTTTCTTAATATGGAAATTTTCAGCTAGCTAATTCTCATAGCAATTTTCTAGCTGGAAGACAACTAAAATCTATTAGCAGTGTCTTAGTGAATCACCACTGGATATAATTATTAGCAGCTTGAACAAAAGCTCACCATATGTTTAAAAGTTGACTTACAATCAGATTAGCAACTGTTTACAATATGAGTAAGTACTGAGTATAGCTGGGTTTATTGTACTGATAAACTAGTACTTACCTTCAATTTGTTAATCATAGCTTCTTCAGAGTCCATGGACATTGATAAACCATGTATAAGCCGTTTTGCTAACATTCTGGCATAGAACTACAATTAGAAAAAAAAAGTTCAGATTTCCTTGCATTTTAAAAGTATTCTCCAAGGGCAGGGGTGTCAAACTGCCGGCCCATGGGCCGGACGCATCATCCGGAAGCCACGCCCACCCCATTGCTGGCAATGGCAAAACTGTCCCGATACGTTGCGCGATGTCACATGACGTCGTGAGTTTGACATGTCTGTCCAAGGGGAAAAATAAAAGCAAATTAATCTTCTATATGATTATTTACCTTTTGAAAAACATCTTTATCATCAACGTACTTGAAAACTGTAATGAAGCTTGTAAGTTTGTCTTCTACTTCATTTTCTGTCATGCCTTTTGCTGATTTTTTAAGCAAATTGTCACAATATTTGGCCAGCTCGCGTTGCAAGAAAAAGAATAATTATTAAAGCAAACAGCAATAAAGCATAATAATGACAACTAATGGATAAGCAACTTCAGTTAAACAAACAGATGTAGTGTAATGAAGAGATTATCTAAGTTAAAGGACATAACCTTTGTATATTTGTTCTTCAGTTTTACATGTCACTTCACTTGCAAACAGACTCTTAAGGAATCATAATCAGACCATAGTACTTCCTAGAAAAGCCAAGTTTTAATAGCTTTACTAAAGCCCACAGGACTGGTGTTGACCTGATCTCAAGAGGGATGCTTTTGCACAGAAAGAGGACAGCAATGGAAAAGACCTGTCTTTGTGGTGCCTTACAGGAACACTTTTTTAGAATGGGGGCCTAAATAGATTCTCCATTTCAGACCTTGTTGGATGGGCAGTTACTGCTGGAAGCAGGTAATTGTGAAGATATCTGGGTCCTGAACTTTGTAGGGCTTTAAAGTGACAACCAGAACCTTGATTTGTACCCTGAAGCCATCTGGTATTGCAGTACAATTCCTGCAATACAACTGTTATCTGGACAAATTGAGATACACCCATAACATCTCTGGCCAGCATTCTGGAAGTTTTTGTTGTTTGTCTGCAGAAAACTGTTCAAAATATTGTCTGGCATTCTACACTTACACTTGAGCACATAAATCTAGTATTTGATACTTACCAGCTCAGGAGCTTTGCAAATAGAATTTGGTTCCCTATAGTTCACTATTGATGTTAAAGCCTAATTAGGAATGCAAGAAAAATAACTTTTACAAGTTGTGCTAATGTCATAGCACTGACCACACATGTGTAAGCAATACCAATCCAAAATGCTTCCTGACATGGGAGAAATGGGGTTCTCCATGCTTCCTGAAGCTGGGATTAGGATGTTGGATTAGGACTGGAGAGATCCATCTTCAAGGTTCAATATACCCAATTATGGAATTTCACTTGATGACTCTGAATCAATCACTACTTCTCAGCCCACTCTCTCTCCCCCACTTCTGTAGTGTAGTCTACAGTGATGGCATAGACACCAATGTATTAATTGCTTATTGAATTTTAACAATGCAATGTGATTTCTAAAACTGACTTGAAAATATATTTTACAATAGTTTTTAATAAGATAAGCAAACAGTGGACTGGGTTATAGGGCTTTAATTACACCAGTGCACGGAGTAGGACAAGGATACATGATATCCCCTTGATTGTTTAATTTACTTATGGATAAATGCAGTGGCAGTAGAGGTTGCATGGGTTTGGTACAGGAATACATGTACTTTTGTATGCAGATGATGCTGTGCAGTCAAATCATTTTCAGCAATTGTTAGATTGCATGATATAGTAAAGGGTATGGATCTGAAAATTAACATAAGAAGGGCAAATTGGAGTAAATGACTGCAAGTTATATATGAGGAAAAACTAAAGTGGATGAGTTTGTCAACCTTGGGAGAATGTTTACTAAAGTTAGGGAAATAATGGAGAAATATATGTATTTTGAAGCAAGAATGGCTTATTAAATTATAAATGGCATGTTCACTAATTACAACTTTAGCCCTAGTGAAAATCCAGGGACTTATTAAAGCACAATTTGTAGATAGACAAACACACAAACAACCAAGACTGCCCCTTCCCTCTCAATAATTGTTTAACCCAGAAATATGCTAATCTCTCAATTTAAGTGCCCTTTTTTGCAGACAAGCTGGACTGCTAATAGGCTAACACAAAGAAGCATCTTGACTGATTCTATTGTACTTATAGATGTCTTCTACACCTCATTTAGCAAGGACATCATTAGAATTGGGGGAAAGGGGAATTTTTTTTTTCATAATATGCCTAAACTGGAACTAAGTGGTAGCCTGTTCTTCCTGCTTTGTGACAGATGCAGCTAAGTCTGCATAGCACATCTGAGCATTAGCAAATTAAAAGAAGCTGCAGAAATTAGCATTTCTTTCCCATAATCGGTTTCTTTTATAGGGCAGACTTTGGTTGGCTGATGAAGCTGTTTGGAATTTTCTTATCCCACAGAGCTTTAGATCTGGTTTATTATTTAGGGCTTGTCTGTTAATCAACGTGATGTCCCTACAGATAAGTGACTTCTTTTTCATCCTGTGACTAGTTATTGCCTAATTGCTTCCTTATGGGCTGGAAAGTTTAACATTTATTGTTTCCTATATGGCAGTACAGCTTCCAACATTGCTAAAATCTGTCAAACCATATTTAGAGGATCTTAGTGACTTTAGCCAGGTAGCAGAGCTGTTCATATACTTGGAGTAGGTTTTATCTTCTTTTGTAGTGTGTGATTAATTGGTGGTCAAAATAGCCCAAAACAAATGCATTCTTATTTAAGTGTTCAGCTGTTTCTAAGTCTTACTCTTTCTCTTGAAAGCAAATGCTAAAAACATAGCAATATATTTAGTGGCTTAAAAAAAAATCAAAGAATTTGAGTGCCTGCTTTTACAAAACAAATTGCTTAGGCCACCTTTCCTTCTTATGTACACTAAAAATGTGGAAATGGATGAGAAATTTTAAGAGGTAGTACAGCAGTGTTTTTCAAAGTTGGCAACTTTAAGATGTGTGGACTTCAACTCCCAGAATTCCCTAGATACTGTGTCCGCACTTCTTAAAATTGTCAAGTTTAAAAAACAGTGTAGTAAAGGGCAAAATGTGGTCTGTTGTAAGGAATGAAAGGTTGTCAAAAAAAGGAAAAATGGCAGCTTAATTCTTCCTACTTTCTAATCTGGAGGTGGGAGTTGGAAACAACAGAGAAAAAAAATGAAATAATGCAGGAAGAATGAGTTAGGAAATGTGTTGTAAAACAAGAAGAGATAGTGTCTAGGACAGTGGTCTCCAAACTTGGCAACTTTAAGACTTGTGGACTTCAATTCCCCATGCTGGCTGGGGAATTCTGGGAGTTGAAGTCCACAAGTCTTAAAGTTGCCAAATTTGGAGACCCCTGGTCTAGGATGAAAGAGTGCTGCATGAAAACCAAAGTGAGAGAATGATTGAAAAGGATTCAAACTGCAAAACAAACATATGAAGGAAAAGAATATGGGTTAAGAGGAAAGGGAAGACAGACAACATTGTGACTGGATGGAGTTGCAGAGATCCTCCAGGAGAGCTGAGAAATTTAAAGATCAAAGGGGACAGAGAGATTGAAGCTTTTTCAATCTGAAGCCAAAAAGTTCCTTCAGTGATACCTGACTGCGCCTCCTTAAAGAAGCCATACTGTCCCCCCACCTGCAGGACAATCATGCAGTTCCAGGAAAATACCCATTTGGGTTAGAGACAGTGACAGTGTGTGACAAGGGATTGTGAATGAAATGAAGTACACTAAAGTACATTTCTTTTTCTTTTTTCTTATCTCATGACCTCGGTTTCTTTGCTTTACTATTTCTTACTCTTTTTGTAAGTTTTGCATTACACTGCTTAACCAGAAAAGGATTAAGAAGGGAGGTGCATAAAATGACAGAAATTTAAGTCATAATAACAATCTCCCATTTCACCATTGCTGTTTGGGATTGCCATTCAATGGACAAGTTAATCTTCCTCACAAATTAAGGGTTGCCTCAAGGCACCTTTTAAGAGACCTGCTCAATTAGAAGGGATTTGGTATGGTAAAGTCTGCTTCAACTCAAGCTTGAGGACTTAGTAAAACCACCCATGTAGTCTTCCTGGCAACAACGGGGTCTGGGACGTTTAGTCACCGCTCCTTGGTCATGCCCCCTGCCACCCGCCTCAGCTGATTCACAGCCAGCTTTCCTCCTCCGCTGGTCCTCCCCCAGCCATTGTCCACCACCAAAGGCCCCTGGCCCTCCGCCCCCAGCCCTTCATCTTGGCCCTTTCCCTCAGGCACCGTTTGTCCCATGCGTTTCACTCCATGGGACAAAAAGCTACCAACCAATCTGGTGGCGGGCAGCAGCAATGGCACTGGGGAAAGGGCCAGGATGAAAGACTGGGGGCAGAGGGCCAGGAGCCATTGGTGGTGGACAATGGCTGGGGGGAGGGCCAATGGAGGAGGAAAGCTGACTGTGAATTGGCTGAGGCCGGTGGCTGGGGGCGAAGGGGGCACGGCCAAGGAGCGGAACCTAAATGTCCCATTCTGTCACAATGTGAAAGGGGTTTGACGCTGCTCCTTCTGAGATGTTTTTTTACAACATCTCAGTCTCACCAGTCTGGCATTCCATGGTGGTTTTCCATCCAAATGCCAGAGGCAACCATGCTTACTTCCAAATAGCACTAATTTCCATGGGTTCGCTCTAAATCTATTCATCTCTGGTTCCAAGTTGTTCTACGTAGCATTTTCATTAGGCTCACCTTGTCAAGGGCACTCATAAATCGCTGGTCACCATTCAAAACAGTATTAATGAGCTGAACAAATTTAATGTGTACTTCCAACACTGATTCTACAAATTGAGTGGGCATCTGAAGACAAAATCAGACAGAATAATAAGAACAGGCAGTTCTGTAACAATTCTTAGGGAAATAATTTTGCAGGAAAGAAAAATGAATACTGTTTTAACTCATACCCTATTAAAGTATGAATGTGTAAAAAAATAAAATTCTCAAAATGTTTTCTATCTTCATTTTACAATTCTATTAACCAGGTTCTTAAATTTTATTATATCTACCATCTCCTACATAGTGTGTTCCAGATGTGTTGGAAGTCAGTTCCCTCCCCAGTTCACAGAATCTTCAAGTTCAAATTCAATTCATTTGAAGTGAAGGATGATGGTTATTATTGCTAAAAAACACTGCCTGAATTTGATAAATGGGTTGATCATCATCAAGGAAAAAAAGAACAAGCTGGCAGTGCAATTCAGAACCTGTATCATCTTGCATTGGCAGATATATGAATACTAAAGGCCATTTAGAATGTTGGCAATTCCCAGAATTCAAGTTCAGCTAAGATGGTTGAGAGGCACATAACCTTGGGCAACGCTGTGACATATTTACCCATGCTTGATACTTTTGTTTACAGTGATCACATCTTTGTATATTAGATTTATAAGCAGGCTTCCAAATTGAAGATGCAAAGTAGAATCCTTGGTGCTCTCCGAACATGATTGCTTGCAGACATTTCATTACCCAACTAGGTAACATCAGTGCAAGAGTAGAGTTTGCTCCCTGTTTATATACAGTAGCTTGCCCTGCCACTGTTGGTGGGGGTGGGGTTTTCTCCTTGGGAACTTCTTGATTAGGGTATTGTGCTGTTAGCCCTTCTGGGTAAATAAGACAAGAAACACTACTAGATGAATTAATTCTACTTTACTGTAAGGCTATATTAACAGAATCTTGCAAGTCTGAAGGTACAAACTTCCCACTGCTACTTTTAACCACCCAAACTATTAGGGCAGGTCCTTCCTACTAACTGATATTTCTTCCTCTGTTAATCCATTGGGGCCTCCTGCCTCTGTTGTCTGATTTTTCCTAGGCAGCATCTCTTCCACTCATTCCACAAGGTTATCATTACATGTACAGAAGCTTGAAAACAGAAAACAATACCCTAATCAAAGAACTACCAAGGAGAAAGCCACACCCCCAACAACACTGGCAGGGCAAGCTACTATATAAAAGCAGAGAGCAAGCTCCACACTTACTAGCATTGGTGATGCTACCTAGTTGGGTAATAAAATGTCTGCAAGCGAACAACCACGCTCAGAGAGCACCAAGGACTCCAGTTCCACCCTGAGCTACAGATATTCTCTTCTATGAGATGGAAAATGTGATGCATTTTGAACTTACATGTGTGGGAAGGGCTTTATTAAAGACATAGGATTAAAGATTCTCTTTGGCTGAGCTTGACTGGTATTTTAAATGCATGTGTCTATGCTGTTTTCTTCACCACTATAGAGAAATAGTTTGCTGTTGCCTTCTTCTGAGATGTTCTTTCAACCTCTCAGTCTTGTCTACAATACCAGGATTTCTTGGTTGTCTTTATTAATCCATGTATTTAATCCATGTTTGCTTAGATTTTTGACATCAACCAAGGCTGGGTGGATAAGTTAAACTACTTACTCAAATCAACTGTAAATCATTCAAGCCCAACTACATGCTAAATTACTCAATTTTCTTCCTTAGTGAAAGTAGCAATAGTGGTCTACACCAGATTACCAAACTGCAAAAAATTAAGTCAAAACAAACAAGCAAACTTACTGTTACTAGTGACATTTTTATAGTTTAATGTATCAAATGATTTTCTTCCACTGAAGAAAAAAACCCTTACATTTTCCTGAGAAAGACTGCTGGATGATCTAAGGCCCTCATCATGGATATGGTTTTGCAGTTCCTGAATCATATGAGGTAAGCCACTTGGCACAGCATGAAGCAATGTGTACATGTTTGCCATATCTGCATAAAGAAAGAACTTGATTTTCAGGATATATACTTTTTCAAAAATTGCTACTTTCAAATGCTCATATATAAACAGCATGATGGCTTTGTAAGCTATAATTCTTTACTAAGACAGTGAGAGTGTGTGTTGACATTTGCAGGTCAGTTTAAGCCAGGAAACCTGCTTTATAAAATCACAATACATATGCAGTTCTTGGCTTATGTCATTGGGTAAATAGACCAGGTATGGAAACTGCTTAGCACTGAATATGGCAGAATCATAAATTAGCTTTAAATCAATAAATAAAAGGAAAAGAAAGGTATCCATACAGCTTCAATGAAACTCTTGGTCCTAATCCACATTTACTCCATATGCTAAGTAGCTAAGAGATTAATGGCCATCCCTACTATGCTGAATGGCAATTGACTTTGGTAAGAAGGCAAAGTACATTTATTTTTAATATGTGTATTTTCCAATTTTTATCCCACAGGACACCTTTACCATTTCTCTTCTCTTGTCTGATGATGTTATGACATTCTGCATGAAGAAATTGTATGTGGTCTGCTACCATTCGTTGTTGGCATTCATTGATTACTTTGCTGTAGGAACTGGGGTGTAGATATTTTCGACATCTCATTTCTTCATTTTTTAGTCTACATAAAACCTAAAAGTAATTTTCCACATTAACAGCACAATCAAATACTAAATGGCTATAAAAGTAAAAGGAATATACTGTTTATTTTCAAGTTATCATGGCCAATTCAACACTGAGGTAATATAAAGAATTCATTTTTAAAACTACACACTCCAAAAAGCCCAATTCCATTATTTGTGACATTATGTAATAAGAAAGCAAAAACATTCTAGGAAAAAAGTAGAAAAACTGGATTGGGGTGACCTGTAGGATCAAATAAGAATTTAAAATTTCTTAAATGGAATTTAATAAAGGACAAACAGCATCAATAAGGCTGCAATGTTGTAATGGAAGTTTTGCAAATAAATATCCTGAAGATTTCAATTTCAAAACATTTATAAGGATTGTCCCCTATTAGGATCTTTTAGACACTTATTGGTTGCTGGCTTACTAGAGCATAGTTTAACAAGCAAAGAAACAATGCAGGACACTCCCAAATTCCCATACTAACATTGGTTATCCTGACTAGTGTCAACTATAATTCTGTACTACATTTGATTAATGCCTTAACCCAGCTTCACACTTATGGCATCATTCTAAACATTTACACCTTGCTTTTTGTGTTTTTTTAAAATACACAATCAAAGTGGTTAAGAAAACTGACAAAATATCAGTAAAAAAAATATGTATCAGAATAGTAACAAGCAGCATACAGCAAGCCCTGGTCACCTCCTGTGTGGATTTCTGTAATATGCTGTACATGGGGCTGCCTTTAAAGAGTATCTGGAAGCTTCATCAGGTGCAAAATGTGGTGGTGCCAGTACTTATTTGTCCATGTTACACCTCTACTCCATGAGTTGCATTGGCTACCAGTTTGCTTCAGGGTTCAATTCAAGGTGGTGATCCCCTAAAAAGCTCTATATGGCATGGGGCCAGAGTATTTGAGGGATCATCTCTCCCTTATTACACCTACCCATTGGATCAGATCCACAGAAATGGCATGGTGCCCAGGTCCTGTCCATGAAGGAATATCATTTGGTAGAACCCAAAAGGAGACCTTTTCTGCTACAGTACCTGTCCATTAGAACATCATCTCCCCTGAGGTGAGACTAGCCCCAACCTTGTTAGCTTTCCAGAAGAGCCTGATTACATGGCTTTTGCATGTGGTCTGGGGATCCAGCTACTGTATATTGGTGGAAAGCCACTTATACTGCTAGGAAAATGAATGGTGTTCTCCTGCAGATGTTTTTATGTTTTTTACTAGTTTTGTTTTTAATTATTTTTGTGGTTATTTTGTTGTTTTAGAATTGTTTTCTGGATTATTGTGTTTTGGTTGAGATGGGAGGTTGTAAAAATTTTACAAATAAATAAAAATGCAAATATATAAGTCAGTACCAATGAGTAAAAAGTAGAAAATCAAATAAAATGTTTGGCACAAGAGCAGAAAGTCAAGTCAAATCAACTACTGTATTACCAAGACACTACCTAACCTAAACCCATATAAATTTAAGAGTGCAACAGGAAAAAGGAAAGAAAAGCCTATTGTTCTTACTGAAAAGACAATAAAATGATTCAAAACCAGGGAACAAATATTGATCTGAACGAAGTATACAGTATTTAAAACTAGATGCATTTTATTTCTCTAAGCATCTTATTCAATCTAATTTAGAATGTTGATTTATGATGCAGAGCATAACTTACGGATCATATCACAAATACAGTAATTATGAAAACTGACTACAGCTGAAAAAATAAAAAAAGATTATAACACCTTTGGAAACAAGAGCAAATGCTTCCTCCGATTTAGCCTGCATATGATTTTGGACGTACAGGTAGTCCTTGCTTATTGACCATTCAGCAACTGTTCGAAATTATGACAGCACTGAAAAATGAGACTTACAACTGGTCCTCAAAGTTGCATGTTTCAGCATCCCTAAGGTCATGTGATTGTGATTCAGGCACTTGGCAACCAGCATGCATTTACGACAGTCGCAATTTCCCCCGTGATCACCATTTGTGACCTTCACAGCCGGCTTCCAACAAAGTCAATGGGGAAGCTGGCAGGAAGTCACAAGTTGTGGTCACCCATGCTTAACAACCCACAGTCATTTACTTAACGACTGAAGCTGGAAGTGACATTGTTAAGTCAGTATGGTCATGTGACATCACACTTAACAACCATGCTACTTAGTGATGGAGTTGCCAGTCCCTATTGCAGGCCTTAAGTGAGGACTACCTGCATGTATATGAATCCCTTGAAAATGCTCTTTAAATGCATCATGAGGTCTTATGTTAGCAAAGTGGAATGTTGAACCATCAACCCTCATGACTCCCACACCACAAACTACTCCTGAAACTCTTGAAAAGCAGTTTGTTCCAAAATACATGGAACAATGAATAAATATGATCATCTTACCTTTCCCATATACTGTGAGCAGTTTGATTCTTGCATTAAATTTGAAGCTTCTTGTTTATAATACTCCCCTGTTTCATTCAGAAAAGGGCACTCAAAAATTTCCTGGTAAAACTAATTTGAGAAAGTCTGATCAAGCACAAAGAAGGTAAGGCATGGAACAAATATTTATCATAGTTTCCCAAGAGAGAAATAAAACTTTTTACCTTCAGAGGGAATTTTTTCTTATACTGTTCAACATGAACAAAGGAGTTAATAACCCCATGGATTACTTTCTGATTTGGATCTTCTCCACAACGATCACTGAAAGATGGAAAAATAAAACTCTCAACATTTATACTATTTATCACTGTCTAAACCAGTGCTTCACAACCTCAGCAACACTGAAATGTGTGGACTCCAACTCCCAGAATTTCCCAGCCAGGGATCCACACATCCCAACATTGTAGAGACTGAGAAACACTGGTCTAAACTTTAAAACCAACTGTCCAATGATAAAGCTGCTGTTCACAGGAAAATGCTGAAGCAGATTACACGCCGTGTAATATATATATTTTTAAAAATCTGTATATTTATATAAAAGACCTGAAGAAAATTGGTACTTATTTTGAGGATGAAGGAACTCACCCAATTTTTCCTCCACATATTACAGTAGTTATAAAATAGTGATAAGTAAGTAATGTTTAAAGATGGAGAATTTTTACAAGTATTTATGTTAAAAGTGATCAGGCAAGGCAACCATTAAGAGTCTCTGATAAATCTAAAACCATGCTAGGGGAGAGAGATACTTTATTTATTCTATCCTAAAGTCTTCACCATATGAGGTGTGAGTGTGGGGACAGCAGGAATTTGAGTCCAGTACATCCACAGCTCAACATCTTAATACCCTCTCCAAAGTTGGAGATAATAATAATGATGATGATAATAATAATAATAATAATAATAATAATAATAATAATAATAATAATAATAATAATAAAACAGCTAGCACAAGCATTAAAAGATGCAAATACTGCAATATCAAGTATAAGCACCAATTCACTGCAAGTAATAATAATAATAAATCTTTATTGATTAGCCCTTGGGCCATATCAAAGTGCAAAGTTCCAGCAACAAATCATTACCAAAGTCTGATAAAAGCAATTTAAAATAAAATTTGATAAAATACAGTTTAAAATGGAACTAGAGTAAAATATGACTTAAGTTGAAATTGGAGTAAAATACAGTCTAAAATGAAATTAAAATAGAGTACAGTAATTTAAAATATAGATAAAATATGATAAAATTGTATCTTGGAGTCACCCTTGCAATCTACCCCAATCAGTCCCACCACTGCAAGTAACAAACCAACTAATGTACAGCACAGCTGCAGTTATAACTGAATACCTGGGATGCAAAATCAACAAAGAAGAAAAACAAACAGTGCACCACAAAAATGGAAGGTTAGACTGGAAAATAAGATCAACAAGTTAAGATCAGATGCAAGCAAGCTAGAACAGATGAAAGAAAAGAAGCTGAAGAACAAGTAGACCAAAGAATACCTAATCAAGAAATACCACTTAGAAACAAGGAAGATCAAGGAAGCACTGGAAATAATAAAGCAGCAAATAACAGCTATAGCCAGGAAAATCAGCAGATACGAAGCTCAAATTGCAAATTATAGGCAGAACCTCCAATTTCAATCCAATCAGAAACGTTTCTACCAATCCATCAATGGAGAAACTGCAATGAATCAGTCAGTACCTGACAAGGAAGAAACAGTGCAGTTCTGGAAGTTATGGGATAACCCAAAGAAATACAACAAGGACGCAGCTTGGTTAAAAGAGGTGGATGCAAATAAAACAGAAGTTGAAATGAAAGAACTAGTAATAACACCAGAAATGGTAGAGAAAAGAGCAAGGAAGATCAAGAATTGGTCAGCACCAGGTGAAGATGAACTGCATGGTTTTTGGTTGAAACATCTAATTGTTCTATCCCCACTCATTGCCAAGCAGTTCAACAACCTACTACAAGGAGGAGAAATTGAAAAGTGGCTAACAACTGGGAAAACCTACATGATAATGAAAGATCCAGCAAAAGGGGCAGCACCAAGCAACTACAGGCCAATTACCTGTTTACCAACAACTTTCAAATTGCTAACTGGTGTGGTAGCTGATGCAGTCCAACAGCATCTAGTTCAGTGGTTCTCAACCTGTGGGTCGGGACCCCATTTGGGGTCGATCGACCATTTCACGGGGGTCGCCAAGCAAGGCTGTCCACCATTTTTTTTGTCCGCCACTTTTTTTGTCCGCCATTTTTTTCCCCTTTTCCGGCGGGTGCCTTACCTCCCTTGGGTTGGGCCAGCTGGTGGTCAGCCTGCTCTGTCTCTGCCGCTTGCCAGCTACGCCTCGGCTGGCGCAGGGGGCAGAACCATGCATGTGCGGCGCTCCCGGGCAGGGAAAGTCCTCGACTTATGACCAGTTGAGTAGTCCTCGACTTACGACCGGTTTAGTCCTCGACTTACGACCGGTTTAGTCCTCGACTTACAACCGGTTTAGTCCTCGACTTACGACCGGTTGGGGGTCGCGGCATTAAAAA